GAGCACAATACTGCACCAACACGCCACACGATACCGTGAGCACAATACTGCACCAACACGCCACACGATACCGTGAGCACAATACTGCACCAACATCGGGTTGGGTGGTTGCCCACCCAGGACGAAGCGTGACAGCCGCACGCAAAAATTGTAATTTTTCTACACAAGGACATTGGAGTCTCGAGAAAAAATTATATTTTTATGTCGGCAATTGATTGCCACAGCTCGTTGAGGTCGAAAAGTTTCATGCTTTTAAGCATTGAGCACAAGCAGATATTGTATTGAGAATTTAATGTCTAGGGTCGGATGTATATGTATGTTTGGCAGTTCGGTGTAATACGAATCTTCACCGCGAATATTTCATTATATCAGTTTGAGTTTCAATTTTCCTATAAACGTTATGCTATAAGGTTTGTCATCATCTGATGTCAATTTTTCATACATATTGCGTAACAAAACAAAAAAATAACAGTATTCGCTCCCAACGGTTCAGCAAATTATTGAACTACTTAATTTTTACGCTACTTCATTTAAGCTTTTCTTTTTTTGTTCAAACACTCGTTCAAGTATGAAGTCAATAACTTGGACAATTTCCAGTCAAAATACAAAAGAAAAGCGTTTATTTTTTTTTACAATTTTGTCATAACGTAGTGAATATTTTTGTTAATATGAAGCCTGCATCAGACATATATGGGGTCCTGCAAACGAGGAATAACTCTACGGTATTTAATTCAAAGATTTCACTATCTCTAGCGATGTATTTCAATTAAACGACATTCATAATTTCACTCGACAAAAATACAAGATATTGTTCAAGTACATTGAATGATTCGGAATTTCAATTAATTAAGTGTTCCACGGCTTATTAACGCTACTATTCGAAATAAAAATAACATGTTCAATAATATAAAAACATGTTAATATTATTCCGCTTTCACTTTCTTAAATAAACGTCACGGTAATAAGTGAGGTTAAGTGTGACATATTGCAGGCATTTAATATTGTTTTTGGTGCAGATGTTGATGTTGACGCTGCATTCGCTTCATCAAGAAAGAGTAAACACAATAAGATAAGAACAATGCAGTACTTTGTTGATTACTGTTCTGTACCCTTGATAATCATCGCTTACCACCGCCACACACTAATTGCTTTCCGCATATTAATTAACAAGTTGCATTAACTAATTGAAAGTTAATTTTTTAAGCATTTCCAGCAGAACGAATATTGAAAACATAAAAAAGTAAATTTGAAGGAAATAATCCAACCATAAAATTAATTGTTATTCCCAACTCAAGTACAGAAATTTTAAGCGTGACCATAAAAATTGCGTAAGCAATAACGTAAACCTAGAAGGAACGCTCGAATGGCAGAAGAAAGAAGTTCCTATGGTGCGTTAAATCTGATGAACGATTAAATCTGATGAACGATTAAAATTGATTAACGATTAAACCTGATGAACGATTAAATCTGATGAAAAATTAAATCTGATTACCGATTAAATCTGATTAACGACTAAATCTGATGAACGATTACATCTGATTAACGATTAAATCTGATGAACGATTAAATCTGATGAATTATTAAACCAGATTAAAGATTAAATCTGATTAGCGATTAAATCTGATTGGCGATTAAATCTGATGAGCGATTAAATCCGATTAACGATTAAATCTGATTAACGATTAAAGCTCATTAACGATTAAAGCTGATGAACGATTAAATCTGATTAACGATTAAAGCTGATGAACGATTAAATCCGATTAACGATTAAAGCTGATGAACGATTAAATCTGATTAACGATTAAAGCTGATGAACGATTAAATGTGATTAACGATTAAATCTGATTAACGATTAAAATTGATTAACGATTAAACCTGATGAACGATTAAATCTGATGAACGATTAAATCTGATGAACGATTAAATCTGATGAACGATTGAATCTGATTAAATCTGATGAACGATCAAATCTGATGAACGATTAAATCTGATCGATTAACAGTTAAATCTAATTAACGATTAAATCTGATTAAAGATTACGTTTGATTAACGATTAAACCTGATGAACGATTAAATCTGATTAAATCTGATGAACGATTAAATCTGATGAACGATTACATCTGATGAACGATTAAATCTGATTTCCGAATAAATCTGATTAACAGTTAAATCTAATTAACGATTAAATCTAATTAAAGATTACATTTGATTAACGATTACATCTGATTTACGATTAAATATGATTAACGATTAAATCTGATTAATCAAGCCAACCGTCCGATTAATGATCGCAGGCCAGCCATTAACCATAAAGCATGAATAACTAAAGTGAAGAATCAAGCAATAGAGACAATAGTACAGAAAGTAACTTCAGTTACAAACGTATACATGAATTAAATTATGTATTTCCTTAAACTATATCGCCTATAAACCCAGGGCTTATAGATATAGTACAAATAGTGGCACACTTGCTGCTTGTAGCACTGATATGCTCTTTTGCAGGGTCAAGCTGAGTTCGGCTGATCCATATCCATATATTCATATATCCATTATCCATATATCCATTATCCATATAGCGATGCTCTTAGGGCACATGGATATATGGATCGCTATATGGATAAAATCTCGCTCATTTATCAGCGTTTAAGCTCAGATTTCGCAGTTATTCTGCAATAACAGAAATTTAAAACTAGTCACATCAAATACTAAAAAACAGATTATTACAATGTACGCAATTACATCAACAAGTAAAAACTATATTTAATATAAAAAACAATATTTACGATCGTTCATAACACCATTTATATGACACATGAATGGCGAACGCGAGAATGAACGTCTTATTATACTACGCTGCTCTGTGGTAGATTCACGATTATGAGTGAAAAAGTACAGCGCATTCGTAAGCAAGGTTATGTTTGAGGTGACTTGAAACTAAATGATAAAATGCCTTAAGCAACATTTAATAAAACATTTAAAATATTTATCATATTTACATCGGTCCCTAAGACTCAAATAATATAATCTAATTGATACAATTTAGAGTTCAATCTTAATTTGATGGGCCAGACTACAGCAGTGCGTGAAATCCTGAAAGGAGGCTAACACTATCAGAGATTCCTATGAGATCCTCTTAACAAAAAATATGACTCGTATTCCGTAAAATATTTTATGTTCAATGTAATCATATTTCGAAACCCTTCTCTTCAATGAATATGAGAAAGCTCTTTTTAGAATGCGATTTAAGCGAGTTTATAATATTCTGTGTAATAATGAAAAATAACCAAAAAAATTTGCATGAACTGCGTATTCACATCGTAAATATGCTGCACAAATCCTTAAAACCTTCCGACATCTGAACGGCGATGTTCTATCAATTAAGTGCTGTACGTTCTCAACGTA